AAAAATATTGTGGGGTTGCTTAGGTCGCTTATTTAATAGTTTGTTTTGATCTGGGAAATAATTAAAAGCTATTTATTCGTCCAATGTTTAGATTGCTTGCCGTAGTCTACTCTGTTATTTTGGCGGGGAGGGGACACTTTTTAATTTATTTATTTGGTTTGATTATTTTTACTTGTTTTTGCTTATTTATTCTTCTTTTTATCAGCGGATATTTTAGCGGATTTGTTAATTTGTTCATTTATTTTTGATTAAATTTTTTTATTGTGTATATTTTTATGTATTCTATTTGGTTTTCGAATGTTTAGTAACATAGTGATGTTTTTATCGATATATAGCAGTTACTTCTATTTTTACGTCCAATTCTTGGATTGATTGTTGTTTTCTATTCTGACGGTTATTTTGCTGGGATTGGTTCGTTAATTTGATTATTATATTTTACTTTATTTACTTATTTGGGTTGATTGCTTTTATTTTTTTTTATGTATTTTATTTTTATTTATTCTATTTCGTCTATTCTAACGGCAGTGGTTTGTGAATTTGTTTATTATTTGTTTGGATTAATTTATTTTATTTGTTTATATAATTTTGTTTATTTGTATTTATTCATTTCAGTTTTTGTTTTTTTAAGTAGTAAAAATTTGTTTTCATGTCTGCATTTTGAGGTGAGCTCATACCATTTATTTAGTAATTTATTTTGGTCTGGGACGGTAATAACAGCTATCTTCCTTCCAAGCAAGGTTTTTGATTGATTGTTGTAGGCTGATGACCTTTTCCTTATTTTCCATGATATTTTCGGTGTGATTTGTGCAGAAAACATCTATCACAAATATAAATACGCGAACAGTACAATGCTTTCCAAGTACATATGGGAAATTAAAGACAAAACACAAATCACACCAAAAATATTACTTTAATGGTTTTTTTGATGGCAACGAACAATTGTAATGTCATTGAATACTCATCACTTTCGTAATGCTCTTTGTAGTAGAGACTTTGTAATCGCAGATACAACTATAGTAACGCCGTTGAACAATACTTCTTCATTCAAAAAATTTAAGGCTGGTAATATTTTTTTATTTACAAAAATGTATTGCTGGTATCAAAACCTATTGTTACACTTTTACAATGTTTTAACCCCAGTTTCAGGGTTAACTATTTGCCCATATCTTGGACCCTAACAAGTGCTACCACTCCGGGTCAGGGTGGACCTCGGGAACACCTGCAATTAATAGGTGGTTACATGCTCCTTAAAACAATCTAATCAGAGGCCTTGCTGTCGGATGTAGTTTATCGTCTTACACAGGACGCGGAGGTAGTTTATCGTCATCCACAGAACGGTCAGAATCGCCTCACTGCATAGGTTGAATAAGTCCGGTGAGAAGACGCATCATTGTCGTACACCTCTTTCTATTTCAGTATATTTACTGAACTAATTTTCTATTTTCAGGTGTTTTGTTGCTAGTCTAGGTTCTGACTTATTATAATATCCTTCAGAAGTATGTAGCAGTTCCAATAGTTCTTTTTGGCATACTTTATCAAAGTTTTTGCATAATCTATAAAAAAAAAATATATACACGTACTTCTGCTTTTGTATTATTTTTTCTGATAACGTTCTGAGCATAAATATTACATTCCTTGTTCCAGTGTTTTAAACACACCCTCACTGGTGTTTTCTTATTTCCGGTTTGATTCTATTGCGCTCATATGGCTCATTTAGCTGATTGCCCGATGGGTGTAACATTCATTTGCCCCTGGTCTCT